AACAGTCAACAGGTACTATCATCATTAATTTATGTAAAATTTCTGAAATCTTCACAATTTTAGCATTTGTGCTAATTTTAGACGTTTGTTGTCTAAAATGGATATGGCCACTTTTGTTTAGTCTTGATATTTAAATACATGTTGTATTAGATGATATTACATAAACATATAAAAATTGAGCCTGGGTGCTTCTTACCTAGAAAAGGGGGTCCATTGTTTTATATTGGAATTAATCTTTATAAGCTTTTTGTCAAATATCAAGCAGATGCTGAGAAAAGTGTTACTTAAATTTTGTGACGCTGACATGAATGACAGATAGTGATCTCTATGTAGCTTCTGGGGAAACAGTCGACAAAACAACAATGTTAAGTTTCCTCATAGAATGTAATCTCCAATAACTTGAGGCATGTGAATAAGACATGTAAGATGTAGTTAGCCTATTACTACCACAGACAAACAAAAATATTTCAAATGGAAATAAAATTTATTTTATACCTACATGAATAAAAACAAATATACAGATATATGGTTCAACTGTGGTGCAGACATTTTCATTAAAATGGTTATATAATTATTCAGGCTGTTTGCTTATAATTTTACTGTCATATAATATTAGCGAAGTCTGCAATAAAGGGAAACATGCAAAACGGTCTGAATACATGCAAACAGTAATAAGATCTGAAGCCAGGTCGGATGACTATTCAGGTCTAAGTTAGTAAGTATGCATCAACAAGAGCTTCAGTCAAAACATCCTGTTGTAATATTGACTGTTTTGTCTGTTTTCCTCTTTTCTACTACAGATCAGAACACTTTATCGACTTGTATTGTGCAGGTACAATATAGTTCAAAATCAAATCAATAATTTCTGATGATATTTTGTAGAAAAAGCCATTGTACTTTTTGATACATCATCCCATGCCAGATTCAATTGGTTCCTAAATGGTGGATACTTTCCATTTCAAAGAAAATGCAAGCATCTGTTGAGTTTCTCCCGGTCAGAAATGATATCTGTTTCCCAATCTGATGCTTAATATTATGAACAATTATTTGATGCTGTGAATATACTCCTATGAGAACCTGAGCATCTTTAATTTGGCTTTCATCTCCATCTAAAAAGATAAAAAAATAAATCTACAAATGTACTTTAAAAAAATAATATATCCCTTATTAAATTAAAGATAAAAGAATTCTCAAATATATAATGTCCATGATATATGAGATAACTATGAAATCTTTTTGGTTGGGACCCAATGAAAAAAAAAAATATATAAGATATCTCAACTGGTGGAGTAAGATCATTGCTTTGCCACATCTAGTATATCTGATAAAACCTCAATGTCTTAATGCAAAAACTTAACCAAACCATTCATGCAGAAATTGTAGGCCAAAGTGACCTTATCAATAGTAACCATGTTGTACTACCCAAGATATCTATCCACTAGCTATAGTCAAGTATCAATGTAATACCATGTCTATTACAGAGAGACCTAAACACACAAAATTAACAAAGTTGCTCAAGTGGAAAATGTAGGTCAACATTACGTTTATAAAAGTGAATCATGTTGGACTATCCAAAATCAATACACTGGTTAAGTATCACACAGCTATACAATTTTGTACCCGAGATGTTGACCTTAATGCACAAAACTTAACCATGTCACTCATGTGGAAAATGTAGGTCAAGTTGACCTAATTTTTATCATTTACCCTATTGCTCTACCTAAAACCTATCCACTGGTCAAATATCATAGCTTTACTACATGTTTCATGACTATATCTAGTGTCACTTAAGTGAAAATGTAGGTCATAATGACCTAACTATAAATGTTAATTAGGAAACTCTAATATGAGGTCCTTGATTGAATCCAAGTCCATGATAAAACTAATACAAAGCTATACCCAGTACTGTAAATTCAGAAATTATTGCGTGCATTAATAACTGCGATTTTGTAATGTAATTTTAGACTGAAATGCGTATTTAATTTTTGCAATATTCAGAAAAATCCTGTTTAATTCATATAGCAAATTGCAAAATGCGAGTTTAACATGTTTAAATTAGTGCGATTATAACCCTGTCGCATTTTTCACAATAAAAAAACATCGCAATAATTTCAGAATTTACAGTAATATTTTTGACATTACCACTTTTTTGGTAATGGTTAAAAATTTTACCACTGGTCATCTCATGATTTCCTAACCTCCACCCCTTCCCACTCAATGTATCTCTGTACATTTTACAATCAGTTTAAAATTTTCAAAATGCCTTTCAATTGCCCCTGTAAATTAACTATGTGGGGATGTATAAGAACCCTGCCACATCCAATCTCTGATTTTGTTAGATGAATTTATGCTTTGTGTCAATCTGATGAGTTAAGCCTAAACGGACACATGACTGATTTCAATGGTACCATACACACTAAAAACATCAATAAAACACGATCATATCAATGTCCAGATGAACAATGTTTCAGGTATGAACAATCAATCAATTTATAAACCTGTTGTTCTACGGCATAATGTCAGTGAATAAATTATAATAGACAAATCTGTTTTATCAAATTAAAGGTTAAAACTAATTTATTTACAAAAGGCATGCCTCATTCGAATACATGGACATGATGGAGACATTATTAAAGTCAGTAAGCAGAATAAATATCAAGACTACATGTAAAACGTCATACAACTTCAAGTGAGAAACTCACACCCTATCACTATAAAAATCTAGATTTTGTGCTTTCATTTCAGACAAATAAAAGGGGAATTGAGATTTTAGTGACAAAAACAAAACAAGTTTAACCTCACTACATTTATGTGTGCCCTTTCCAACTAAGGAATATATTGTAGGTTGGTTTTTACATGTAGTACCGCCGGTATGTCCTTGCTTCAATAGAAATTTATAATTTACAAATTTTTGTATCTTGACCATATATACATGTAGTGCAGGTTGTTTTTTTTTATATTTAATGACTCATTTCTGGTAAATTACAGCTCGCAATTAGATGGTGGTTGTGCGTGTTGCATATATCACATATCTACATGCACTAGAAATAAATGCCTTTTTCCATATACATGTATATATGTTCATTGTATCACATAATTATATACCTCGCCACTATGTCATGCATATTTGGCAGTTTTAAAAATGAATCTTTTCACAATACAGTTGTGGATCCATCCAGGGAGGGACCGGTTGTCAAAATAATTATGACTTCTTGAAAGGCCATTTTATTTTATGGCTATGCCTATGGCGCCTGCGTCGCAGTAAGGCATCAAACATGTCAAAGCAAAAAAAATAAAATAGCCTTTCAAGACATCATATATATTTGGACTAGGGACCAGTTGGTTAGAACCTTCACTTTTTTGCTAATTAATGCTTTTGAATAGGAACACATGGATGAACCTCCCTATTTATCCTGGTAAGAACCACCATCCCCCCTTTTTTTAAATTGGCTAGATCCACCCCTGGCATAATTAACTAATTTATTTTTGTAGTTTACCTGACCCTTTTGGAATAAGTTGTCATTACAAAAGTCCTATGATAGGGTTAGTGTGGTTCCTCAATCACTATCAGCTTTTCGCCTTTTGGAGTTTTGCCTTATATTAATGTCAGCAGGACGATCTTTGAATCCACACTTTTGTTGAATAGTCCCGCCAATATTTCCCAAAAGAGTCTCTGTGCCATCGGCATGGACATATTGACAATTTTATAGCAGCACGATCAACAGAAAACAATGTCACTTATGTGTATAAAGTAGTCCTCCTTGAACATGAGGAAAGTTTGATAAACAGGCCTCACTGCCCACAGTGCTGTGGATAAATTCAAGGTGGTGGTTGTGTCCTTTTTACAAAGATAAACTTTGTCTAACAGATGAGTTGTATAGTGCTTTGATTGTCCACAACAACCTCCAAGATTAGAAAAATCGGACCGAACAGACGCGTCTGCTTTTCATCACTGGAAGCTGCCATATTGCCAGTGAAAGATTTCCACTAAGGGAGACAATTTAACCACAAAAATAACATTGAGGCTACCTTTCGGTAACTTAATGTTAAATTTTGCAAATTAACTAGAAAAAAACCATACATTTAGCCAGAAATATTTTTCAACATAAAATAAATGTCACCTTAAATTTCCTTATATAGTAAATAAAACATTTTAAACAATTGTCATTCTGTAGTTCAAATCCTTAAAACTCAACTGTGCAAGTTTTATCACTACTCAATATAGCAGGGGCGGATCCAGCCATTTTAAAAAGGGGGGTCAACCCAGAATAAAGGGGGGTTCCAACCGTATGTCCCCATTCAAATGCATTGATTGTCAAAAAATAAGGCGGGGGTTCCAATCCCCAGAACCCCCTGGATCCGCCACTGTATAGTAACCTTTTAAAAGTGATGAATTCTGAGAAAATTCTTATGAAATCAGGAAAGTATGAATTTTATAATTTTTGTGCAAATTAATAACCAGATGTTCTCCAAATTTTTCAAAAATTGCCTCAACAATTGAAATTATTTTTTTAAGACAATCAAATCCAGTTGAGTAATTAAGTAACCGGGTAGGTAATGTAATATAAGGTGACATAATGATAGCATTAATTGACTTTTGACTGTTTCTTGGCAAGTCTTTTGGCTCATAACAAAATTATGGTGCTATACAGTCAATGAATGAAGAGAAAACTATTTGTTAGTAGTGGATTTTGTTCTCATTATAAAGTTAGGAGATGTGGTAGACATGTAATTGCCAATCAGAAGTTATAAAAGGCCCTGACATAGCAAAATAATTCAAATAAGAAACCCAACAGTCTGAATTATGTACAGACAACAAAGGAAAAACAAATATGATATATATTGTAGTAGAATCCTTAAAAATCAGGAGACTACAGTTATGTATTGAGACAAAATCTTGAATTCTTCTAGAACAAGGATAATCCAACTTTTTGTGGGTTTTCCTAACCAGTTATGGCTTTTTCGTGAACTTACACCTGCATTTCTTTCAATTTTGACAGGAAATTTACGGGTATGCTAAGAACAAAGGTAAAGAAATCTGCATGTGGATTCTATACTTCTTGACAGTAGGTTTACTACGGTTATTTTTCTTCTGGTACCCACATCTGATGATAGCAGCCACACATGAGAAAAGTTCTTTAAAACATGCAGTAGTTGTTGTCCTCAAGGTAAAATATGATTTGTATATGGAGAAGTGATTCAATGCTTACTTGATAGGTAAATTAACAATACCTTGTAAAAAAAAGTTAATAAAAAATAACAAATGATATATCTACCATATTTGCACAATACATGTTTCTTGACTACAGCGGATTCATTATTAATTGTGGGTTAACAATTTTTGTGGTTTTTGTGAGTATGTGTGAACCAGGAATTTAAATGTTCAGAAAAGTACAAATTTTCTTTAGGCATATATACAGACTTAAGCAAAACCACAAAATAATCAAATATGAATATTAGCAGATTAGTAAATGTTTTTGCCAAAGTGCATCAAATGAGCTTTTACCTATGTCAGTTTTCTTTGTCTTTTTTGGTAATTGGTTTATAAAAATCATTTTCTTATCAAAAATCAACTATGTTAAAAAGTGTTAATCATTACATAGCAGTCAAGGAGAATAATTTTTAGTGTATAGTCTTATATTTTTTACAAATATGAATACACCAAGGAAATATTTATTGCTTTCTTTGAAAGTAAATGATTTGGATTTATATTAACAGACAATGCTTAATTTTCAGTTTTAATCACTGCCACCAAAAAACTTTCTTGGGGTTGCTCTGTCACGGAATAGAAGTTCCTTCATGATATAAGTTCCAAATGGAAACAATATTCTAGAATATTATTTCCACTGAAATAAATATTACAGTAAATGTTCCCAACGGAGTTAATGGTATAGAATATTTGTTCAAACGGAAACAGATATTATGACATTGTTTATAACAAAGTTTCCAGTGGAACTTCTGTTAGGCGGAACAAATATACGTTGACAGCTTATCCTAAATATGTATGAAATATTTTATTATGGATACTAAGCTAGCAATACATAATCAGCAAATATCTTTAGGTTGCTGCATATACTTTTATCCTTTTTATCCTTTTTTTAAGATTAAAAAGATAATGTAGGTTTTAAATGCAATCATTTAAAAAGTAAATTAAATAAGCTGCTGCGAATGACACTTTACAGCCTTAAGTGTGCAATGCAATTGACAAAAATCAGAAGTGTGAACATACTAATAGTATCAGCCCATATTTATGCAACAAAAGTATTCTACTTTTCAATAAATAGCTAAAAGTTTACATTTCTAACAAATTTGTAAAGATGCTATATGTTGGTGCCAAAAAGGAGTCTTACCGCGCCTTAACTTCTTTATATTTATCAATATTTGATATGAAATATTTATAAAATATTATATGAAAATCCAGTCATGACCGGTATTGTAAAACCATGCTAGTATGAAAAGAAAAGGCGTTGAAGTTTTATATCATTTAATGGAAACAAGTTTACAGTTGAGATCAGATAGTATCTCAAGACTACTTTTTATATCATACCTTCTTCATACCTGCAGATTGTACATAATTTTAAACATTATTAAGTCCTAAAATTATAGATTATCGTTGGTTATCTCAAGGAGATTGATTTTCTCGCTTGAGCCGGTACGACGAAAGTGAGAAAAGCAATCGAGTTGAGATGACCAATGATAATCTGATTATCGCTATTTTACCTATAAAGACGTTGTTAATTTCCTTGACAACGGCACGTGTTCCCTTAGTTTCTAGCTATAATTTTCATATCACTCGACTCCGTTTTCATATCACTCCACTCCGCTGAGAAAGGAAATTATCAGTCAGCAAGATCAAAGGAAAAAATCGTAAAATAGCGATACAGATTTATATTGCTCCAAATCTTTGATTTTAAAATTTAGCCCAAATGTTGACTTGATATTGGCCTAAACGTAGCATTTTTTTAACCCAAATGTTACATCAATTAGACCTAACATGCATATCCCATAGTGTATGCATGATTTTCTTCAGTTTTAACATGTTTAAGGCTAATTTCAATTTTTGTAAGTCAGAAAATTATTTTCAGGAAATCCTGGTGTCATTGTGACTTTATTGAATCATGTTTTTTCCCCTAGACCAAACCTATTTGTATAGACCGGCATATATATAACTGGTATATAAAAATAGTAATTGTTTAAAAAAACGCAGAATTTATAAAGTACAAGATAGGATGCTTATAACCTGTTTGTTTAGTCATGCACTTAATGTTAAAAACCACAAAACACTTATAAAAAAAATAAATAATCATGTACCATTACACTAATAAATAACCTTATAACATATTATTATTTTTTTTCCTCAATTAAAAGTGCATCCATCACTTTGCACTTGACAATTCATATTGTCATTTCCGGATGTTGCTAGAAATTGACTTTCTGAGGTTGATCTATATGCATAAATTTTATTGCATGACAGAAATGCAATTGATTGAAAGAAAAGCTATATAATACATTTTTATTTAAGTTTTATTTAATATCTAGACTAGAGACATATATTACATAGGCAACTAGACGAAATCTCAAATTATTAAGCAGCCCTCTTCATTTCATTGGTAATGTTAAATTCCTAACGAAAATGATTGTCTCTCAGAAATCATGGAAAAATATTTAGATAATTCCTTCAATACTGTAACCTTATCAAGAAATCATTTAGATATTAAGGTTAATCTACACCATATTTGTACTATGAAAAAATGTATCAGCCGTACCAACACGTCTCTCTTTCTGTAATATCTTGATGTCAATCTTTCACTTTCATTGCTCATAAAATCTTTATTTCAAAAGATATTTTTTTCAAACATTTTAAACCAATTTCGAGAAAAACTCAAAAAATGAGAGAGAGAAAAAAGAAAAGAGAAGGAATATGTCAGTACGCAAAAAAGGAGTCTGCAAAATAATGAGAGAGTCATAAGTTAAATAGATTACATGCCATTAAAATGCAGTTGCTAATCACTTGTATTATATGTTTCTGTCTATACACTATGAATTTTATAATATATCAATGCATATTCATATTTTTGTCTACTTTAAATTTTTGTTATGTTAAAGACTAGACTTGAAAAGCCAGCTTAAAATAAAATGAAATGTTTGTACAGTCGTTATGAAAATGTGAATTGTGTCTTATTTAACGTGTTATAACTAAATTCGTTTTTTAATAGGACCAGTATAATCAATGGTTTGTGGCCAAGGTTAAATTTAAAGAGAGCAATGGAAGGGATGTGTAAGTAATTTGACACATCATTTGAGTTTTACATGTGCTGTATAAGTGTCTGTGTAATTCAGTGATTGATTATATCAGTAGGTTAAAGAGCTCTAAAAAGCTCATGTTCAATGTTGATTGTATATATTTAAACTTTAAATAAAGATTACTTTCCTTTACTTAACATAGTAATTTATGTAGCACCCTGGGCACTTGAATAATTTCAGAAGAGATGCACATTTTGAAATAGTGGACAAAATGTAGTTCTTTATCTTGCCTCATACACTCAGCTTGGAGCTCCTTCTGGAATGCAATATAAAAAAAAGAAGATATAGTATGATTTCCAATGAGGTAACCCTTCACCAGAGATTAAATGATGGAGAAGTTCCTATTTGATAGCTTGATGGAGCATTAGTTTATGGAATCAAATGTAGTCTCTATGTAAGATTTTGAATATATATGTACTTCTTATTTGTTCCATCGCAAATAAGTATTTAATGAAATTGAAATAAAAAAACAAAGAAACAGAATTAAGGTGGTACCAAACACCTTGACTAAAATTAATTCAGCTCGTTTGATTTTCATAAAATTTTGACAAAATATTTACTTTGACCCTTTGACAAAAATATAAAAATTTCAAAAAACTTGAACCACACACTTTATCGGAAAAATTACATTGGATATATAGCAGTTGACAAACACTAATTATTTATTAATAAAAATCAAGTTCAAAGCAGCCTGTATTTTAAATGTAGATTTTATCATTAGATTTATGCCCCAAGAAAAAAACAACCCAATAATTTTAAAAAATTTGACCTGGTTTGAATAAAGCACTTAAACATTCTAAGTGCCAACATTGTTTAAGTTATATTTACAGAAACATATTTTACATAATAACTTTCATATTCCTCCACTTTTTCAATGATAATTTTTACTCCAAAAATATCAGAATTAAAACATACACATATATGCATCAATGAATACTGCAGGGCTGAAACAAGAAGCCTACCTTCCATTTCTATAAAAAGTCCATTTAGAAATTACCCTTTGTTTTGAACAAATTATAGAAAGAGCAGACATTTTGTTAACCCATCTATGTGGAAGACTCGAGGTGGAAGATGTATGTTATATAGCACATTATTTTTTTGTTTAGCTCTATGGAATGCTTAATGCTCACCAAGTATTAATGAAACTTTTATTGAAATTTAGGATATCTGTCAAAGCTGTAGAGAATACATCTGATTTATAAATACATATTTCAAACATAAATACACATAATGATATAATCTGCGAGCATTTTTGAGATCTGTTGGACACCTACATCATGTTTGTTGATGTTTTGAATTTCTAGATATTTTGAATTAACTTTAAATTTCAGTTACACTTTTCTTTTGTACTACATAATAGAATAACTTCATTTTCAGTCAGCAACCTATCAATGATAACTTGTAACATTTGAGTATTTTTCAGATTTTACATGACAATTACTCCCTGTTATTTGATACTTGAATTGCAAGTCTGGGGTATTCTTAGCACTACCATGTGTGCATGTCTTGTTTTATGTCAATGTATGCTTTTCTTAACCATTAAGTTGGGCATGACATAAATTTTGTAGTAGAAACATACTTTTGAAGTATAGGGCACTTCAGGGGAGGGTGTCATAGTGATAAATTTTCCTTTTCTTAACACTTATAAAAGCCTTCATAATTTTAAATGGGGGTAACATGTAGATGTAGAATGATTTTACTATAATGCTTTATTTGTTTCACAGCCAAAGTCCAGAGACTGGACAGGAGAACAAAGTAGAAGTTATATCTTATAAGAAAGGAAATTTACCAAATACACCACTTAAACAGGGAGATGTAGTAGTAAGTAAAAACAGTACCAATAATACTTCATAACTATATTGACAAAATTTTCTATATATAACTAAAATTGTGTTGATTTTATTTTGATATTTTTTAATTTTATAGATAGGAATATACAGATCAACATACATTGACATTTTTATGTGTTCATATTTTAAACACTGATCTTTTTTTTATTTTTTAAATCTGCATATTTTGAACACTGATGTATTTTAAAATCTATATACTGTTTAAAACAACATTTGACAAATGAATGAAAATCTAGGACAATAACATAAGTTTGTTAATATTCTATCAAATTATACCTTTGCTATTATAAGATAAAAGCAAACTAATGTGCAAACTTTTTTTAAACAATATGATATTTTATTTCAGTTGACCGAGGTAAAGTTAAAACACTATGGCTCATGTGCGAATTTTTTTTAAACAATATAATTTTATTTCAGTTAACTGAGGTAAAGTTAAAACACTGATATCATTCAAACAATTGTCTGATCAAACTTGTTAGCCTGGGCATTCAGGATTTCTGGAGCTTTTTTCTAGATTGCTTTAAAGTCTTATTAAAATATTTTGTTTTAACAGTGTTGATCTGGTAATGTAATGTTAAAGAATTTGTACCATAATTTACAATGTAATCACTTCAAAAGACTTCATAAGAACAAAATTTATAAGGCCATTAATAAATTTAGGATTTTGTGCAATGTAAATACATGCATCTATTTTTAATGGTAGTATTTTTAATGATTACATGGCATATACTGTGGACTCATTATTATTCTTGAGATACCAATTTTTGTGGATTTCTTTGGTAACGGTAAAGCACAAATTTAAATGCTCAAGGAAGTTCAAATTTTTGTATAGGCTCGTATGCCGACTTTGGCAAATCTAAAAAATCCAATATACACAAAAGTAAAATTTCCCCTCCATCCAAGAAAATTGGTATCCACGAAAATAAATGAATCAACAGTATTTTGAAATGTGGTACAGATAACTTAACCTCACTATGACCTTTGAGGCTGCTTTACTAAACCTTTAACTGAATATTTGTGCAGCTTGTAGTGTTCATGCTTAGTTGTGTAGGCTGTGATGTGACACTTGTTTTGGGGTTTTTACACTAATTATCACAGGTTATGATATTGTTCAGATAATTTAGTAAAGTGTGGTTTTAGTTCTTTAATTCACAAAGCAATTTTCAAAAGCCTTCTCATAAAATTATACTGAATTCTTGCAAGGTTTTCCAGAAATTCTGTTGAATGATTTTTGTCTCGCCTATAACGTTGAGGTCAGCGAGACATAGGGATTGTTTTTCCGACTCCGGCGTCAGCAATTGTTAAGTTTTCTGCTTAAGTTAGTTTGATAGGAACTACTTGTGATAGATCATTGATATTTACTATGAAGTTGCATTACTGTCAGTACATATCAGTTTAAAGACTATTTTGAGGCCCTGCCCCCTAGGACATGGTCCAGTGACTTTTAATTAATTAGCAATTTTCAATGTTAAGTTTCCTGCTTAAGTTAGTTTAATAGGATCTACTTATGATAGATCAATGATATTTTGTATGAAGTTGCATTACTGTCAGTTCATATCAGTTTGATAACCATTTCGAGGCCCTGTCTCCTTTGTCATGGTATAGTGACTATGAATTAATTAGCAATATTTAGTTTTTCTGCTAAAGTTATATTGATAGGAACTATTTAAAATAAACAATGATATTTTCTATAAAGTTACATTACTGTCTGTACATCTCAGTTTGTCGACCATTTTTAGGCCCTGCCCACTAGTCCAGTAAATGAATTAATAAGCAATGTTGCTGTCCATCAGATTGTCTTTTTCTGAAGTTTATGCTGATAGGCGAGACATATCTCCGTGTCAACATTTTATTATAAAAGCTTTTTAGAATTACAGTAAAACCTGTGTAAGCTAAACTCTTGTACTTGTCTACTCTGAGCTAAATTTTCAGTCCCTAATTGGTTCCATTTAGACTGTTTTACTGTACTTCCTTTTAACATTGATTAAATATATTTTTGAATTATTGCGAAAGAAAGTTTTCCTAATCCAGCACTTATTGATTAATTCACCTGAAATTAAAAAAACTTTTGAGTAGATGCGAATACATGTATCAACTCACAAAACTGCATGTGATGTTGTAATTGTTCAATATCAATAGTATATTTTCAATCTGTTCAATATAAACTCTGATTTTATCATAAAAAATTGATTTTGGATAAATTTTATAGCATTGTTTCTTTTAAAACTTGCAGGTTTTTTGTGTTTGTCATAGAATACGTTTAAGAAGGCCTTAATTTAAACATCGTCATTTTGCAGTTTTTATTTGTCAAACACACAATAAAACAAATTTCAATAGGAACAATGTTGAAAATTTTGCCAGAAATCATTTATTAATGTTTTAATCAGTGTGTATATTGAACAGATAAAAAATATATTATTGATATTGAATAAATACAACATCACATGCAGTTTTGTGAGTTGATACATGTATTTTCATCTACTCAGAAGATAATTTTTTTTCTTCAGGGAAGCTAATCCTAATTTATGCGTAACCCATCTCTAGCTAAGGGGTTTAATTGAAGGTCACATGAATACGGATTCAATAAAATTGAATTATTCACTTGCAAGTGAATAATTCATCAGCTATGTTTCTTAGCTTATTTTGACAAAATTGAACCAAACTGGCTGCTATAAGCGAATTATTATTTCACTTTCACTTTCATGAATGATTGAACAAAACAAAATCAATTTTATTTTTTTTTATAACTCGTGGCTAATGGTCCCAGAGAATAAACTACACAGAGATCAATATCTATTGTATTTATTCAATGGGACAAGTGAACTGAAAAAAGTTTAAATCGACAGGTAAACTGCAAATGATTCTGTGGAAAACTCCCATTTCTTTTACAATAATGTTTTTGAAATGCTTAAAATGTTGCCTTTGCCTATGCATACTTCTTCTGAAGTACTCGTAATGCTTCTAATCACAATGTTCCAGATTCTTGTCTTGACAAATTTTTCTATATCTAAATTTGAAGTCTTAAGTGATACCTTGCCTGTGGTTATAGGTAAAACAGGGGTTATAGTTAAATCAATATAATAACCTCCTGTTGATTAATTAACTAATTACTTTAAATACTGATATTTTCTTCGGTTATATTTCACGATTTCAATGCATAAGCTTTTCGTACAGAGATTAAATTTGCTCATCAATGACAAATTCACACTTCATACCAATAATTTTGGTTTTTAAAAACAATTTGCACTGGGGATATTTTCGGGCAGTTGACAAGAACACGAAATAAGCAACAACCGAAAAATATCTGCATGAAAATTTACATCTTGGGTAATTAAAGTAATTTTTCCTTATTCAAGGATGAAATAAACTAATGAAAAAAGGCAAAAAGTCAATGATAATCCTGCTTTAAACTGGCCAGAAATAAAGCAACACTAGGATTATTTATATGTAAGGCCTTAGCCTACTTTGACTAAATTTGTAACAGTGACAAAGAGAAGAATAACAATATAGTTTGTATGCATGAAGAAATGGCAGAAGTTTTACAATTTTTAAATGTTATTTTAATACCTGGAAGTGCAGATAGTTTTAAACTCCTTTTATTATCCTAGTAAAGTTAACCATTTTCTTGACTTGTATGACAATTTTCACAAAAACCATTGAATATTCTTTACATTTGATTGCGACCTTATTTATTACTGTCAATTAATGACTTTTGTCTTTGATACTGAACTTAAATCATAACTGGTTATATTATAATTGATCTTTTAAACAATAAAAAATGTTTTAAATTATTATAAAAAGTAACTCATTTTTCATGAAGTCATTACAAATACTATTCTTTTGTATTTTCAGAGGGAACAGAGTCTTATTCGATTTTTTATAACAAAGAAAGTGAAGTATGTGTGGAACACAAGTTCTCAGGAATTTGAGAAGGCAAAGTTAGTTTTTACTCAGTTTTTTGCAATCAGTATAAATTAGGGAGGATTTCAAATACATGACATTTATAAGTCAACTTGGATATAAATCAATTTTGTTTAAGTAATTTCCCTTAAAACATAAAAGGAAAATAATAATAAGCTATATTGTTGATTTTAACAATATTCATTTTAGATATAAGGGGCTCCAGCAGGGTACCTCCCCCCTTTTCGGTCCCATGTTCACATTTAAAATTCAATTGCCTCAGGTCACCAGGTTACTTTTAAGCAAATAAAAGAGTTAAATAAAACAGATTTGAACATGTTTAAAGGTCAAAGGTTCTTATAAATAAGACCTCAGGTTGCAAGGTCGCAGGTCAGATTTGTCCATGTTGGAGCCACATATATAGAAGCTTTGTTTTATATTGATATCTCATTTGAGTTTAAAACTAAATTATATTAGAAAACATATGTACCAGTTGTACCCTCTTGTAAACTTTAAACTGGACAAAGGGGTCTTTAGGTCTTTTAATGTTCTCATTTTTTAAATCTTTTTACATAGCTTTTAATTTTGTATATCTTAATCAGATTGAAAAATAGGGTGTTTTCAAAAAAACTGATGGAGTTATATTATAAACTCCCATTCAAAATATTTGAAAACTGGCAAAAATTATATTGGGTGACTTTTAAAAATTTAACTTTGTTTTTGACACTGAAATGTATCTATTTATACAGAAAAATAAGCTTATCTAAGTAAAACTTGGGACCTCATTAACAATGCGTGTAGGCATTGTCTACATTATTTCTTGCTTAAACTTGTAAGTAATACCAAAATACACTTTCTCTGTGAATTCCTTTTTGGAGCAAGGATTGTGCTGTTTATTTTATAAATCAGCATATGAGACAAAGTCATTTTCATTGTTACATGGTATGGTTTGAAAATTGAGTAAAGAAGCAAATCTGAATGAAAATATAGAAATTAGAGATATAATAGGAATTATGAAATTAAGCAAAACAGAAAACAAATTGTGGCTCTCTATGTTAAGTTTTTCATGTTTGGTAAATTATCTGCATTTCTAAGGTAATTATGAACTTTTAATTGAACAATTGATTTGTCAACACGTGTAAGCTAACTATGGACTTTTTATTTAACAGAGGATTAGACCATTCAACAAGATGCTCATACTTCCATGAAGCTTCAGGACTTAGTCATTTAGAACAGTCTCAAAGGTAAGATCCTTGTAAGATAATATGAAATGGTCTATCCAATTGAAATACAGATCCTGTGTCCACTCTTCGCTTACAAGGATCTTACTACACTCCGTCCTACTTTCTGTTTTAATAAAATTTATATCAACCAATGAAATGTCTGCCTTCAAATTTTTGAAGGTGTGTATCATTATGATGAAACCTGAGGACTCTGAAAGGTTGTTAAAACAGAAAGTAGAATGGAGCGTTTTTGGATCCTTGTAAGTGAAGGGTAGACACAAAATCTGTATTTTAATCAGATTGTACTATGGTTTGAGAACATGTATGTAGAACATTACTTTTTGGTTTACATGAGATAATGTGTACATAAAAACAGAGCATATATTACTTACATTTAAGGTGACTTTTCAAGATGATGTCATATTACCTAAATAATATTATTTTTAGCTCACCTGGCCTTAAAGGCCAAGTGAGCTTTTCTCACCACTTGGCGTCCGGCGTCCGTCGTCCGTCGTCCGTCGTCGTCGCTAACTTTTACAAAAATGTTCTCCTCTGAAACTAATGGACCAAATTTAACCAAACTTGGCCACAATCATTATTAGGGTGTCTAGTTTAAAAAATGTGTCCGATGACCAGGCCCGCTAAACAAGATGGTCGCCATGGCTATAAATAGAACATAGAATGTAGATTTTGGCTTATATCTCTAAAACCAAAGCATTTAGAGCAAATCTGACAGAGATAAAAGTGTTCAGCAGGTCAAGATGTATCTGTATGGCACGCCTGAACCACTTTTATAGATAATCCTAGATTATCTCAGATAAACTAGGATTATCTCACTGTTTTACATTAAGCTCAGATAAACCGGGATTATCTCGATTTTTTCAGATAATCCCGGTTTATATCAGAATTTTAAGATAATCCGGGATTTTATCAGCTTAATGCATATTTGAGATAATTCATTATATTCCTCACAAAATTAGATAAATAATTAACTGGAGAAAATCCGGGATTATCTGAAAATTCTGAGATAATCCGGGATTATCTGAGAATTTTGAGAAAATCGATTAACTGAAAAAAAGTAGCCAACAGAAAGGTACGACATATTGGAGGAAAATTTCATGGTCATAAGGGATAAGATATAGATACAATGGTGCATCTATACAGATAGAGAAGAATGAAAGATTACGTTCTTACGGGAAACGTTTTAGAAGTTTTAAATTTCCAAATTTGATAAAAATAACAATTGATTTATTCAGGATGTACATGTATGACAAGTGTATCGATAATAATGAAGATCAGAGGGATCTAGAATTTAGAAGTTTGTCTTGAGAGGTTATTTTAAGACAATTTGAATGTTAAATCCGTATTTGTCTTTATGAAGATAGTGAAATATGTTACATAAATCTGGCATCCGCACAATTAACTAGGACAAATAACTAAAATGTTGAAATAAGTTAAGCAAAGTTGAAATACACCATTTCGAAGTTCTAATGAGTTTTCTTTTAGAAAGTTATAATCTTTAAAAAAAAATATCACGCGCCGTTTTTCTTTCCTTAATTTTCCCTATTAAAAGAGTAAAATATGGTGCAGGAATTTATCATCCATTTATTGCAAAGTGTTACATTTTAGTACTTACTTGGTAAGTTGTATAAAGTGTTTGTTGTCAATTAGATAATCTAATCATGATAATGACAAATGTCCAATAAATGAAATATTTATTACCTTACAACTCTATTATATTGTTAATCAGTTTGTTTTTTAACAACACGTGGCCAATGCATAATTAACCTTTAAACAAACGCTGTTAAAACGGGGTTTTGATCCCTGAAGGACGCCACACTTTGCAATGAATTAGATCTATATTTGTTAACGTTTTCAAATTAAATAAACTGAATGGATTTCTTAAAATTCTCAAATGGCTTTAATATTATTACAAACAAAACGAAACGTTTATTTAACATTTTTTGCAACTTTTATCTTTATTTTTGTTCTAAGAAAACCTTTCTTGCTTGGTTAACTAGTATGTGTTGATTACCTTCACTAATTACTAAAGATCAGACGACCTAATTAAGTATTTGTATAGACCTAATCAACATGATAATTGGTATCGAATATGATCATCGGTCATGCATGACATATTCCAAATAACGGCGCGTGTTAATAAACACTTCAATAACTTCTGAAATATTCAATTAATTTTATTCAAACAAAATATTAAGATAAAAAAATAAATAATTTATCGGACGCATACCCTCAACGCCCACTAAAATATCTATAACATGTCCTGAGTGCACTCAGGAGGCCCTGAGCGGTTTTAAAACGTACCGCAAAATTATTACTTAAAATAATTTTTGTTGACTGTTAAATGAAATACATTTCAATTCATGGAGTGTCAGTGAGTTATAATATATGTTATAAATGAGGGCCCCACTTTGGTAAACCAACTTGAACACATTGAGCGATCGTATATATGCAATCAGGAACAGATGTATCCACGAAATTATATTAACATTTTATGAACTTGCCTGCTTTAATAAATAAATCATGTTTTAGTTATAACATACACTTTTAATGTACTATTATTTATAAATCAATGTTTAAAATTCACATATATGTGCTAAGATTAAAACTTCGTGTAATATTTTAATACTTTATTCTTGTAAAATTTTTCATTAATAAATACTGTTTAAACTAAGATTAAAATTTCATGTGTCATACGGTCATTCCAAGTGTCATTCGGTCATTCGTGTTACGTATCTCCAGTACTTCTCTATGGATAAGAGCTAAAACTACCAAAAACAAGTTCACCAGAATTAATCGAAAACTTCCAGAAAAAGCTACTAATAAGCTTATACTCTCATTACCAACTTATGTAGCAGATGTTACTATCAACATCCTAAACGGAATACTACCAGTAGAAGCCCAACTACATATCCGAGTACTTGGACTATTGAACAACATCTGTAATCAGCCCGAAAAAAGCATAGATAAATTGCTAGCTGACGACAACTTAAACTGAAAAATAGCCAAAGTTCTAGTTGCGTGTCGCTATAAAACATATGCGCAAGAAATACGATCTACAAAATGGTACATGGACAACACCATCAAAAAAATATTATGGACCTCCAACATCAAGAAAACAGTACAGAGCTACTAGTCTAAGAGTAACTTCAGTAAAAAGCAACACTGTATTCTATCTTCGAAGGCCGTACGGTGACCTATAGTTGTTAGTTTAAACATATTTTATTGTTCAAAAATGACAAATGGATTAGACACAAGTTTTTCAACTTAGTAACGTCTTCTCCTATTGTTGTCAATTTCTGTGTCATATGGTCTCTTGTGGAGAGTTGTGGCATTGGCAATCATACCACATCTTCTTTTTAATTTCCAAAACGACGAGTGTAAAAAAAAAAGCAAATATGCAAACATACAGCTTGATTTATATTTACAACAAAAACAAAATGAAATACAGGAACAAAGACTCAATGACACAATATGTCATGACGGAGGAAGGCACATGCATATTTGGAAGGGGCTAAAAAAAGGTCTAGTGCCAAACCATACCTTAAACTGAAACTGTACACATGGGATAAGACCGAAGTCAGAACTTAAAGTAAAATTTTGTTGAAAAAGGTCCAGGGTACCGTTTCACAAATCCTTCGTAAGTCTATGTGTCATCGTACGTTCATCGTAAATAAATCGTAGGTTTTACAGCCGTTTCACAAAGCCGTCGTAAGTTAAGATGAGCGTAAATAATACGTAAATCCTGGCGTGACTTACTACAGCTATACCCAGTCGTATCTCGATCGTAGTTTGTCCGCGAATATGAATTAAACCATATCTAAGATGGCTTTATTCTCGATCAAGATGCCGCAAATGTTAGAAGACGAAGAAGAATCTTCAATATAAGAACCACACTTTCTTCGTTTGATCATTTTAAAAATGAAATGGATATTATATCCAGATACAGACTGGATAGACACAGTATCAATGAAATAACATTGGCAATAGAACCAGATATAAAACATGATACAAATAGGTCCCATGCACTTACTCCTGAAACGCAGGTTTTGTTAGCTTTGCGCTACTCACTGGTTCTCCGGTAAAGCGCCCATTTTATGACATTGATTTGTCCCACCGTAACAAAGGAAAACTAACGACTTCGAGTTATATACCCGTAGCTTGTTATACCTATATCTGAGATTTTTATATTTCTTTATTGTCTATATTTTTAATTTTTATAAAGTTAAGTACATATTGCACAACGATAGTGATCGTACCGGCCCGCCGTCATAATATAATGTTTTCTTCGTAAACCTGTAATTCCCGTTAACGGATAGATGACCAAGCAAGACTAAATATTTAGCACAACATTATGGAACGCGGGAACCACATTAATAGATAATCACAGTTTATCGGGGATAATGATAGTTTATAGGTCGATCATTATAGTTAGTCGGCGTAAAGTATAATTTACGGTCGGCCATCATAGATGATGTAATCAATGCGACTCGCGCGCAGATATTGATAGTTACTTTTTTGATAATGCATTAACGGTCGATAATGTGAATTGTTTCGATAATGATAGTTAACCTCGATCAAGTGAATTAAAACACGAGTCGTACATTCGAAAACTGTAATTAAAACTGGAAATGCTTGCCGATTGTAAAATCGATTTTGATTGGCGGTCAACTTTTTTCTACTTTCTCTTTTGCGAATTGATGTAAGCAGCATGGATACAACAATCTATATGTTTTTGGAGGTGAGTGACAGCTGTAAATTATAATCTTATGTTATTTAAGGACATTAGTTACTGTAATTTTTGTAATACTGATTCTCATTACTCCTAAATATATAGACCTGAATCAAGCGATATTCCTCAAATTCCTTGACAGGTCAACGTCAAAAGACCAAGGTAGCCTGTTGTCACCTGGCATTCAGCTTTTCACCCCATGTGCCTATAAATTGCGTTTGTGTTATAGGGAAGGGGGTTTTGAAATTGAATTATCGCTGCTTGCAAT